TATGAAGAAGAAGAAGAACCCATTCATGGAACCACCAAAGAAACAAATCAAGCTAGGGAGTAGTAGCTCCAATGCAAGAGCAGCAATACCAACTTCACCACATTCCATTGATGCAATCAAGAACATGTGGAGAGTCCAAGAAGAGGAGAAGATGATTGGGCACTTGTAAGCTTTGTTGGAGAACAAATCCAAGACCCAAGAAAGTGTAAGAAGGCAATGGAGAAGGTGAACATCGAACCTTGTGTGAAGATGGACACCCAAACCCTTGACCTTCTCAAGATAAGAGATGATGTCACATGGTACATAAGGAAGCTAGGCTTGAGCAAGCTCTTCAAGCTAGAATGTAGTGAGTACTCACATCACCAAGGAGTTCCTCTCCACAGTAGCTCTTGCCTTTCCCAACCACAATGGAGACCAACCAGCTGGTGATGGACTCCTACTCTTCAAGATAGGCGATGCCAATGGGCGCATCTCCATCTCAGCTCTATGCCAACTCTTTGGACTTCCCAATGAGACAGCACATGACTTCAAGGAGAACTCAAAGAGGAAACAAGCTGCCTTTGCTGATTGGACACACTTTGCCAATGAACCATTCTTGCCTTCAAGATCAAAGGTGTCTAGAATCACTCATCCAGCCATTCGCTATGTGCACCGCCTCATCTCCACCACTTTCCAATGCAAACAAGAAGCCAACAAGGTCACAACTGATGAGTTCTACATCCTCACCACACCATTCATCAAGCATGAGTACAAGGCCAACCTTGGCTTTTACTTGCCAAGACATTTATCAATGTGAGGAAGCTAGCTCAAGACTTGGAAGGCAACAAGAAGCTTTGTGTTCGTTTTGGGAGGCTTATCACGGCCATAGTACAACATGTGGGGATTGACATTCCCAACTATGAGCCACTACCCAAGCCAACCCCTTTGGATCTCCATGCTCTTCAGCACATCCACTTCCTAAACCGTTGGACTAAAACCCAACTCGGTTTTGCTATGAGTTTCCAATTGGTCCAGCCAACACTTCCCTTGTCTTGCTGCCACATGAAGACATCCCAAGCCTACGCTCAGGTGTTGTCACTTTCCAGCCCAATGAGGAAGACTTCTATGTTCCATCAAGTGAGAAACCATCATTCCCCATGCTCACCTATCGCACACTTCAGCATGCAGTCAAGACTCAACGCCGCCACCAAGAACGCCATGTTCTCACTACTGGCATGGCCGCGCACCAAGCTCTAGACCGTGTTAACAAGCTGGAGAAGATCGTGGAATGCCAATCTCGCTTCATCTCACGCCTAGTCGTGTAGTTCGCCACATTGCACCGGAGAGACTCTTTCGCCCTTCTTCCACCGCTAGAGAGCCATATGAGCCTGACCTTGGTGAGTTCTCACTAGACTCAGAGCTTGGTTCAGAAGGCGATGACCCCATAGATGAGGAAGAGAGTTCTTCTCACTGCCACACATAGTCATCTCAAGTGGTACTTAGTGCAATGGACACTTACAAATCTCCATTTTCTATCCCTATCTCATTTTAATGAATTTCTTCTTTATTTTTCTTTTACTTTGAATATTACCTCTCACCTTAATGTGATTTGCTTTCACCGGGACGGTGCAAGTTAAGTCTGGGGGGAGTTTTATTGTGTTACTAATGCATTTTTCTTTCTTTTCTTATGTTTTATTCACTTTGTTTCATGTTTTTCAAAAAGTTTTATTGAGTCAAAAACCAGTCCGGAAGTTATGAACTTGCTTTGAGAATTGAGAGTGTTGTGCTAACAATCCATGACCCTAGAGCAGAAACCAGCTAAAGGCACAAGCCTAACAGAAGCTCTTACAGTGGATCGACATGCTAGCTCAGCAAAATTTCTAAGGTAACCAAGCAATCTAGAGTTAACCTCACCCTTAATCAATCTTAATACTCTTGTCAAGGGGGTTGGCATACATGTCGACAGTTCCTTGCTTGATTTTCAATAAGATTTGTCTAATCTTTAAAGAGTTCTCCTCTCTCTCCCATCCCAAATGGTAAGTAATGTTATGAGAAAAAGCTCAAAGAGCACAAGGAAAACAAGTAAGCATGAGGAATGCATATGTCTGTACCTTCATGTCTTATGGAATACCTTAGTCAAACAAGGAACAAGCTAAAGACTTATCCTGTGGTTGAAAGAAGGGTCAATAGAAAAAATAAAATGATACCCTAGAAAAGTAGGGAGAAATTGACCTTTCAAAGTTCTGATGTGAGAAAGAGAGAGGAAAAGAACTCATTGCACTTGAAAGACAATCTTGGAGAGGATCAAGTGGGTAAGAACAAGTTCAATTGATCGATGTCCCCTTGATAAAGAATTCACGCTTTAAATTTATGCAAGAGGTTAGCAATAGAGAGTTTGGATTGCTGGATGAGACTAGTTGGGTTGGTATTGTTCGCTAAACTTGCAGGGTGTATGTGAAGCTAACCTTATGTTGTCTATGTTCATAGTGGAATACAGGAAAGGAACCTTTCACAGGATATTCAAAAGAGCAAGGGAGTTTCCACGTTTTCAAACCTCTTTCACGGATTTAGATTCTTTTTGCTTGAGGACAAGCAAAGATCTAAGTCTGGGGGAGTTGATATACCTCTAATTTACCCACTTTTTATACTGTTTTAGCATTGTTTTCTAATGGTTTTTGGCAGGTTTTCTATCTAAAAAGGTAGTTTTACTGTGTTTATAGTGTCTAGAGTCTAAACAGGTGAAATGATGCATTTTGGAGCAAAACCATAGGATTTGCACTTCAAGCCGCTCCATGCACAAGCACCAACTTTAAGAGGGCCCAGAAAAAGATCTACTCAATGGATTTCATCAAGACCAGTTCCCTGCGTGCTCTGATTGAGTTAACTTTCCAACGCAACTGGAATGGCCTCATTTGGATGAGTAGAAAAGGAGTTACAACCAAAAGAGTGAAGACTGTCCAGACGGCTCTATCGAGAATCAGCGCCCAACCGCGCAGTCCGGCTGGCCGAGGAACGATGTTCCGCGCTCGGCCAAATCACATCCGTCCGTCTGAAGTCTCGGCCAAAGTCCAAACCACCGGCCGATCACGCACGACCCGGGAAACATTGTCCCGCGGTCGGCCAAGCCAACGCCACGCCACCGCGCACGACCAGCGCGCGAGCCGGGAACAAGCCTCGCGGCCGCGCAACCTTCGCGTACCACGGCCGATGCATCCGTCCGAGCCGGGAAGAACGTCCCGCGTCCGGCCGAGAATTTCATCGGCCAAATCTCATCCGCTCGACCACGCCGGCCGACCGCGAATCCATCCGGCCCGACCGTTCCGACTCGGCCACGACCCGATTGTCCGGCCGATCGTCCCGACCGACCGTCCCAACGCCGCGGTCGACCCGAAGCCCTTTTTGAAGCCCAAACTTATGTTTTCAAGCCCGGCTTAACCCTAAGCCGCCTCTAGAAAGACCTAGCACTATATATATAGCTTTTTAGCCTCTTGAGAAAGAGAGCCGCCCTGTATTTCGATTTCCTACTCTAAGTTTTATTGCAATCATGTTTTCTTCATCTCTATGTGTGTTTGCTTTGATCATGTCTGAGTAATCCACTAGTTAGGTTGCTAGGGTTACTATTCAATGAGTTGCTTGCATGATCTTTGATTTCAATGATTAGCTAGGGATTATATTAGAGTCTTTGTCTCGTCTTGTGCACTTAACTAATGCTGATTGCTTTACCGCGCATCTAGTAATCCGATCTTAGGTTGATTTGAGCCTCGACAGTGTTGTATCATTCGCCGGACATATTCTTTGACAAGCTAGGTTTCTTAGACTGCGAAAGTTGATCTATCTATATCTAGTGAACTGTATCAGAACCTATTCATTCTAATGCTTGATCTAATCACCTAGGGACATACCAAAAGTTTAGCGACTAGGTAGATTAGCAAAGGAGCCGGAGCCTCGAAAGTGGAATGGTTTTATATTCGTGATCTGTGTTCTAGATGGTTCTTAATATCCCAATATCCCTAATCAATTAATCTATCATTGTTTCATTGATCATTGCTTGCTTCTCTGCGATAGCCCCTATGACCTAGCGCTTTTCCTTTATTGCTTACAACCTCGTTATACTTGCTAGTTCGGTTCACCATTACAACCTCAATCATACTTTTGTTTTAGCTTGATCCAAAATCCATAGTTCAAAGTGTACTCAATAGCCAGTCCTTGTGTTCGATACCCATACTTCCGCGATCTGTGCACTTGCAGAGGTCTAGGAGTTTGGTAAAACCTGACTCCGCATCACCTTTGGGTTTAGAGGCGGTGGATCAGGCGGATCTACTTAGCAGGATCAGAGTTGCTCAGCAGAGTGATCAGAGTTTGCTAGATGCGACGAGAGTGACTGGTTCTGAGTATGAGGTCTCTGCGAATGGGACTATCTTGGTTCGTGGGCGAGTTTGTGTGCCTAAGGATGTGGAGTTGAGACATCAGATTTTGGGAGAGGCTCACGCGAGCAAGTTTTCCATTCATCCGGGAGCGACCAAGATGTACCATGACCTCAAGAGGTACTATCATTGGGTCGGGATGAAGAGAGATGTAGCAGATTGGGTTGCGAAGTGCAACACTTGTGCCTTGGTGAAGGCAGAGCATCAGGTTCCGGGTGGTCTTTTGCAGAGTTTACCCATTCCAGAGTGGAAGTGGGACAGGATTACGATGGATTTCGTGGTTGGACTACCTGTTTCGAGGACTTTCGATGCTATCTGGGTGATTGTGGATCGGTTGACGAAGTCCGCACATTTCTTGGCCATCAAGAAGACAGTGGAGCTGCTGTCTTGGCTAGGAAGTTTGTGCGAGAGATTGTGAGGCTGCATGGAGTGCCAGCTAGTATTGTGTCAGACCGTGATCCCAGATTCACTTCAGAGTTTTGGAGAGCTTTTCAGGCAGAGATGGGCACTAAGGTGCATTTGAGTACAGCTTATCATCCGCAGACAGATGGTCAGTCAGAGAGGACTATTCAGACCTTGGAGGATTTGCTGAGGATGTGTGTGTTGGATTGGGGTGGCCATTGGGCAGATCACCTGAGCTTAGTTGAGTTTGCATACAACAACAGCTTTCAGGCGAGTATTGGCATGGCTCCATTTGAGGCTTTGTATGGGAGGCCATGTAGGACACCCTTATGCTGGACCCAAGTGGGGGAGCGCAGCATGTATGGAGCTACTTATGTTCAGGAGACTACAGAGAAGGTCCGTGTGGTGAGGCTGAACATGAAGGAAGCTCAGGACAGGCAGAAGAGTTATGCAGATAGACGCAGACGAGAGCTTGAGTTTCAGGTGGGAGATAGAGTTTATCTCAAGATGGCTATGTTGAGGGGTCCTATCTCTTACTGAGGATTTTGTGGGATTGCAGTGGTTCTACAGAGGAGACTTGGGAGCCAGAGGCAAAGATGAAATTGAAGTTCAGGAAGTGGTTCGACAAGCAGGTCGAGGAGTGAGCTTATTTCATCTTTGTAGCCTCAGTTGTTATTTTTGGCTTTGGTGTTATTGTATTTTCGTTTTCGTTGTAACGATATACATTTTTGGAGTTTTAATGAGATGCAGTTTTTCCTCATTTTGCCTTGTGTCGTGAAATGGTATTCGGATGTTACACATGTTGACCAGTTTTGGTTGTGGACGGTCTAATCTTATGGTTATAGACATTTTTCCAGAATTTTTACTCTAAGGATTGCGATCCTGAATAACTCATCATGTTTTTGGAGACTTCGTTCTCTGGCAGACTCTCTGGGTGCAAGTAGGCCTCAGTTGAGTGTAGCTTATCTGGGTGCAAGTAGGCCTCAGTATAAGCAGTTTGGTTCATCTGGGTGCAAGTGGGCCTCAGTATGGACAGTTTCGGGTTCGTCTGGGTGCAAGTGGGCCTCAGTGCGGACCGGTGTGGACTTGTCTGGGTGCAAGTGGGCCTCAGTACAAGTGGTTTGTGTGTTTGGATGATGAGTTAGGAGTGAAAATTTCTTGGAACGTGCTTATGACATAGGATTGACATATGTCTCAGGGATCAGGTGAGGATCTCCAGTGTTGCGGCCTTGCGAGGTCGGGTTTTTGTGGTCTTTGTGACGTTTGTTTGTTGGGATTCGAGGTCGAATCCAGTTTAGTGGGGAAGAGTTGTAACATCCATAAACCAAATAATTGATAATTGATTTTGGTTCAATTTGAGTGAAATTGGGCCCGGTTTAGCCCGGTTAAGTTGGAAACCCTTATTTTCGTTTAAAGGAGAAGCAGCCGTCTGTTCATCACGTTTTTCGAGGCAGAGAAGGAGAAAGGCGATTTTGAGAGTTCATGGAAAAATCCGGGTTACTGTTCATCGGTACTGTTCATCCGCGATTCGGCACTGTTCATCGTCTTTCTTTTTCCTTCAGTTTCAATCATTGTCAAGGTGAGTGCATGACTGTGGGTCCGCGATTTGCTAGATTAGATTTGGTTTGTGATTGTTCTTGATGAGTTTATGTGTTTAATTGTTATTTCATGATATTTTGGTTGTTTATGTGATGAATTGTGTGTTTGTGTGGTTTAATTGAATTAATTGATTTAATTGGTTTATCTTATTTAAATTGATTTGATTCTGGTTATTTGGTGTAATTGAATTAAAATGTTTTAATTCAAATTGTTTGATTTATTTTCGGATTTAATTAATTAATGGTTAATTTAATTAATTAATTGATTTAAAATAATTATTTTAATTATTTTAAAATATGGAAAATTATTATTTAATTATGAGAATTATTTAATAATTGAGAAATTGAGTTTTAATTATTAAAAATTATTTAATAATTGGAAAATGGAATTTAATAATTATTGGAGTTTATAAATATTATTAAATATCTAGTAAATTGCGTAAATGGCTCGTAGGCAGAGTGATTGCCTCACTAAGTATTTATTAAATACTTACGCAACTCCATTCCAATGTGTTGCAGGTAAAAGATTTGTGTGATCGCGGAATCAAGGCTGAAGAGGGGGATGATAGGATGTTTACTGTTTTATTGTTTTGCATTATTTTGCTAGACTTGTTTAATTATTATTTGCTTCCGCTGAGCTGATTTATTTGTTATTGATATTTTATTTATTTAATTTATTTTAAAGACCTTCGCTAGAATTGATTAATATTTAATATTTATTAAAAAAAAAGTGTTGGTTGTTTCAGAAAATACCCATCTGGTAAGATTGTTTTGCTCATTTCGGTTGTCTCAACTTCCATATCTTATTTTCGGATCTTGATTCCAGTTTGGGTTGAAATTGCATCAATAACAGTTGATTTATACCTCACGAGGACAAATTTGCTTACCAAGTTGTCCTAAAAGTTCATCAAGTTCACTGCCTATCAAAACCTATGCTTCTGACAAGACGTGCTCATGGCTTCACTCTTTCAATTACCAATCCAAGATACAGCCGCTTTCATTGTACATACTAGTAGTTGTTAAATTCATCATTTGTTTTGTTTTTAATTTGAAGTCGCTATATTATCTTATATGTGTCTGTTTTAAATAAATCCAAACAGTATACAAATAATTAATAGAAAATGATTCATTTTTAATAATATAATTTTTTTTTTCTGATCATCTTATTTTATTTTATAAACATTTAAAAACAAGATTCAATGTTTTACACTAATTCATTTAGAGAACAACGACAAATGTAATTGCTACAATGAAACACACCCTTGTTTTTATGCATACAATGGTGAGCACATTGTTGGCAATAATAATATTGAAAAATAGTAGGAGTGATTGCAAGATTATCTTCATCTGAATTAACACTAGGCTCCGGTGGAGGCTCTGGTGCACCATTGGGCAAATTTTCATCGTTTTCTGACCTTGACACACCTATTAATACATTATTAATTACAAAATATTAGTTTTAAATGCTTATATTATTTCAGATTATCAAATACCATAGTTATATATCACAACTAGTCGAGAATAAACTCACATGATAAAACAAGAACTGCAAAAGTTAAACAGAAAATAATTTTCTTCATTTTTCAACGTAAACTAACAATATTTTGAGGAAATATATTTGAATTTAGCTTTCTATTGAGATCTTGTTGTGATGTTATAAAGAATGATAACATCATATTTATATGGTTTGTTTTTACCTTATGTAACGTGATAATTAAAGTTTTAATGAGCGTTGAATTTTTGTAAATGCTAAGTAGAGAATCTCTCCCTTTTAAAACTACAGTTTTTGTTTAAAATATTAATTAAAGGATAGTTACTAGTATTAGTATATTTCTCATCCACTACAAGAAAATATTGCCAATTCTGACTCCAGAATCCGTCGGATATATTTTTAATGGATTTTCGACTAATTTAAGTTGAAAATTCAAATTGGTTTTCCGACGCAAAAAAACAGGTCGTAAATATCTTACGAACTTATGACTGTTCAACAACTGTCGAAAATAGTTTCAAAAATGTGGTTGAAACCGGTCATTTTTTATTTTATTTATGATCCTATATACTGATTACATAATTATAAATTTTTCTTTTATTTGAACTTAATTTATGATTTATTTCATTTAAAATAATTATTTAAACTAGATTACTTTATCTTTTCTCTCATAACAAAATGTGTCGCCGCCTCTACCCTCCTCTAAGGTTGAAGATAACGTCTTCTCCGATCAAAGTGTTCTCCTTTTAGTGAAGTTCTCACTCCTCCTCTTTTCTATATTGTTGTAATCTTCGTGTTCTCCCCTCCCATCTATTCATATTTTTTTCCATGTGACTCTTACTCATCTCAGATCTAGGTATTGAAAATGCCCATCTGGTAAGATTTGTTTCCTCATTTTGGTTGTCTCAACTTCTACTTCTTATTTTCGGATCTCGATTTCGGTTCGGGTTGAAATTGCATCAATAACAGTTGATTTATACCTCACGAGGCCAAATTTGATTACCAAGTTGTCCTAAAAGTTCATCAAGTTCACTGCCTACCAAAACCTATGCTTCTGACAAGACGTGCTCATGGCTTCACTCTTTCAATTACCAATCCAACATACAGCCGCTTTCATTGTATATACTAGTAGTTGTTCAATTCATCATCATTCTGTTTTTTTTTTAATTTAAATCGCTATATTATCTTATATGTGTCTGTTTTAAATACATCCAAACATTATGCAAATAATTAATAGAAAATGATTCATTTTTAATAATATAATATTTTTTTTCTGATCATCTTACTTTATTTTATAAACCTTTAAAAACAAGATTCAATGTTTTACACGAATTCATTTAGAGAACAACGATAAATGTAATTGCTACATTGAAACACACCCTTGTTTTTATGCATATAATGGTGAGCACATTGTTGGCAATAATAATATTGAAAAATAGTAGGAGCGATTGCAAGATTATCTTCCTCTGAATTAACACTAGGCTCCGGTGGAGACTCTGGTTCACCATTGGGCAAATCCTCATCGTTCTCTGACCTTGACATACCTATAAATAATGTATTAATTATAAATTATTAATTTATAAATGCTTACATTATTTCAGATTTTCAAATACCATAGTTATATATCACAACTAGTCGAGAATAAACTCACATGATAAAACAAGAAATGCAAAAGTTAAACAGAAAACAATTTTCTTCATTTTTCAACGTAAACTAACAATATTTTGAGAAAATATATTTGAATTTAGCTTTCTATTGAGATCTTGTTGTGATGTTATAAAGAATGATAACATCATATTTATATGGCTTGTTTTTTACCTTATGTAACGTGATAATTAAAGTTTTAATGAGCGTTGAATTTTTGTAAATGCTAAGTAGAGAAACTCTCCCGTTTAAAACTACAGTTTTTGTTTAAAATATTAACTAAATGATAGTTACTAGTATTAGTATATTTCTCATCCACTACAAGAAAATATTGCCGATTCTGACTCTTGAATCCGTCGGATATATTTTTGATGGATTTCCGACTAAATTAAGTTGAAAATTCAAATTGTTTTTCCGACGCAAAAAAACAGGTCGTAAATATCTTACGAACTTATGACTGTTCAACAACTGTCGAAAATAGTTTCAAAAATGTGGTTGAAACCGGTCATTTTTTATTTTATTTATGATCCTATATACTGATTACATAATTATAAATTTTTCTTTTATTTGAAATTAATTTATTATTTATTTCATTTAAAATAATTATTTAAACTATATTACTTTGTCTCTTCTCTCATAACAAAATGTGTCGCCGTCTCTACCCTCCTCTAAGGTTGAAGACAACGTCTTCTCCGATCAAAGTGTTCTCCTTTTAGTGAAGTTCTCACTCCTCCTCTTTTCCATTTTGTTGTAATCTTCGTGTTCTCCCCTCCCATCTATTCATATATTTTTTCAATGTTGTTCTTATTCATCTCAGATATAGGTATTGAAAATGCCCATCTGGTAAGATTGTTTTGCTCATTTCGGTTGTCTCAACTTCTACTTTTTATTTCCGGATCTTGATTCCGATTTGGGTTGAAATTGCATCAATAACAGTTGATTTATACCTCATGAGGCCAAATTTGCTTACCAAGTTGTCCTAAAAGTTCATCAAGTTCACTGCCTACCAAAACCTATGCTTCTGACAAGACGTGCTCATGGCTTCACTCTTTCAATTACCAATCCAAGATACAGCCGCTTTCATTGTACATACTAGTAGTTGTTAAATTCATCATCTGTTTTGTTTTTAATTTAAGTCGCTATATTATCTTATATGTGTCTGTTTTAAATACATCCAAACAGTATGCAAATAATTAATAGAAAATGATTCTTTTTTAATAATATAATTATTTTTTTTTCTGATCATCTTATTTTATTTTATAAACATTTAAAAACAAGATTCAATGTTTTACACTAATTCATTTAGAGAACAACGACAAATGTAATTGCTACAATGAAACACACCCTTGTTTTTATGCATACAATGGTGAGCACATTGTTGGCAATAATAATATTGAAAAATAGTAGGAGTGATTGCAAGATTATCTTCATCTGAATTAACATTAGGCTCCGGTGGAGGCTCTGGTGCACCATTGGGCAAATTTTCATCGTTTTCTGACCTTGACACACCTATTAATACATTATTAATTACAAAATATTAGTTTTAAATGCTTATATTATTTCAGAT